AAGGGTCGCTGGCACACTTTACTGACTCGCTCAGACCTCAGCCAAACCAATATCCCCATTGTTATTGCTGCTTGCTGTGTGCTCCACAATCTCTGTGAGAGTAAGGGGGAGACCTTTATGGCGGGGTGGGAAGTTGAGGCAAATCGCCTGGCCGCTGATTACGCGCAGCCAGACACCAGGGCGATTAGAAGAGCACACCAGGAAGCGCTGTGCATCAGAGAGGCTTTGAAAACCAGTTTCATGACTGGCCAGGCTACGGTGTGAGAGTTCTGTTTGTTCCTCCTTGATGAAAACCCGCCCCCTTGATTGACTCATTCCCTGTAAGCAACCCACACTCCCCCTTCGATCACAGCTTGCTTTCAAAGGAAATAAAGTCACTATTGTTTAAAAATCATGTATTATTTATTAATTGATTATAAAAAGAGGGAGAGAACTGACAAGGTAGCCTGGGTGGGGTTGGGGAGGAGGGAAGGAAAAGGCCACTTCAAAAGTTCAGAACAATGACAGCCTTTTGCTTGGGCTGTCCACTGGGGTGGAGTGGCAGGGTGCACGGAGCCTCTTCTCTCCCCTCCCTCCCCCCCCGCGTTCTTATACGTCTGGGTGAGGAGGTTATGGAACTTGGGGAGGGTGATTATACGGGGGCTGCAGCGGCACTCTGTGATCCTGCTGCCGTTCCTGAAGCTCCACCAGATGCCGGAGCATGTCCGTTTGCTCATGCAGCAGCCCCAGTGTTGCATCCTGCCTCCTCTGATCCTCCTGCCGCCACCTCTCATCTCGAGCGTCCCTCCTGTCCTCGTGTTCACTGGCATCTTTCCTGTACTTTGATACCGTGTCCTTCCACTCATTCAGATGAGCTCTTTCATCGCGGGTCGATTGCATGATTTCCAAGAACATTTAATCTCACGTGCATTTTTTTTCGCCGCCTTATCTGAGATAGCCTTCGGGATGGAGGAAGGAGGCTTGAAAAATTTGCAGCTGCGGGAGGGAGGGAAAAAAGGGAGAGAAGTACTTAAAAAGATACATTTTACAGAACAATGCTTATACCCTTTCACGGTGAACGACACTATTCACATTTACATAGCACATGTGATTTCGATACAAGGTCGCATTTTGCATCTTCTATTGAGTGCCTGCGGCTTTGGTGTTTAGAGATCAGATGCAGGGCCGGGCAATTCGGCTTGCATGCGGCCATCGTAAGCTATTGTCTTTCGGCTTCTGCAACCTTCATTAAAGCAGCGCCCTCCTTTCCCATACCAAGCAAAGCCCGTTGAGTGCTGCGGTTTTCCTGTTAACGTGCAGCAGCAGAAACCAAACTAAATCCTCCCCCCCAATCCAGTTCTCTGGGATGATCACTTTACCCCTCCCCCCACCGCGTGGCTGGTATCAGGGAAGATCCCTGCTAGCCAAACGCGAAAAGCTGAGCGCCAATGGGCCCCCCCACCGCTTGGCTAACTGCAGGGAAGGATTTCTTTTCAGCCACAGGCAAACAGCCCAGTAGGAACGGCCACCTCTGTCCCCTTAATTAAATTCCCGTATTTCAACCAGGTTACCATGAACGATATCACTCTCCTGAGGATAACGCAGCGAGATAAAGAACGGATGTTGCTTGAATGCCAGCAAACACTGGGACCATACGCTGCCAGGCTTTGTCTTGCAATGATACCAGATTACTTGCTACTAGCATGGCGTGGTCAAGTGTCCTACCATCGAGGACAGAATAAGGCTGCACTGCCCAGAAACCTTCTGCAAAGGCTTTTGGAGTACCTCCAGGAGAGCTTCATGGAGATGTCCCTGGAGGATTTCCGCTCCATCCCGTTAACAGACTTTTCCAGTAGCTGTACTGGCCGCGAATGCATCCCAAGTCCTCAGGGCAAAGTAATCATTAAACACGCTTGCTTTTAAACCATGTTTTATATTTACAAAGGTACACTCACCAGAGGTCCCTTCCATGGCTTCATGGTCTGGGATACCGCCTTGGGAGGGTTGCGAGGGTACTTCAGTCAGGCTGAGAAAAAGATCCTGGCTGTTGGGGAGAACAGAGTGCTGTGTGCTCTCTACAACCTCATCGTCGTCCTCCTCCTCATCTTCCCCGTCCGCAGAATCCTCAGGCATGGCTGAAGGAACCCCCTCCTCGGAATCCACGGTCAGCGGTGGGGTAGTGGTGGTGGGCCCCCCCCACCCCCCCAGAATTGCATGCAGCTCAGTGTAGAAGTGGCATGTCTGCGGCTCTGCCCCGGACCTTCTATTTGCTTCTTTGGTTTTCTGGTACGGCTTGTCCTTAACTTTCACGCGGCACTGATATGAGTCCCTATTGTGGCCTCTCTCCATCATGCCCTTGGAGATTTTTTTCAAATGTTTTGGCATTTCGTCTTTTGGAACGTAGTTCTGCTAGCATGGAATCCTCTTCCCCATATAGCGATCAGATCCAGTACCTCCCGTACGGTCCATGCTGGTGCTCTTTCAATTCTCGGACTGCATGGTTACCTGTGCTGATGAGCTGTGCGTGGTCATCTGTGCTCTCCACGCTGGGCAAACAGGAAATGAAATTCAAAAGTTTGTGGGGCTTTTCCTGTCTACCTGGCCAGTGCATCAGAATTCAGATTGCTGTCCAGAGCGGTCACAATGGTGCACTGTGGGATAGCTCCCGGAGGCCAATACCGTCGAATTTCATCCACACTAATCCTAATTCGAACCGGCAGTGTCGATTTCAGCGGTACTCCCCTCGTCGGAGAGGAGTACAGAAATCGATTTTAAGAGCCCTTTATGTTGAAGTAAATGGCTTCGTTGTGTGGACGGGTGCAGGGTTAATTTGATTTAACGCTGCTAAATTTGACCTAAACTCATAGTGAACACCAGGCCTTTGTGAGAGCCTTACACTGAGGGCAAAGTGCAGCTTTTATTCAAAGTTGAGACATGAATCGACAAAAACAAATCCAATGTGTAATTCAGCAACATCAATCACCCTGGGTGGGAAAGGATGTAAATTACCAATTTTAATCATGATTTAAACCAGAAAGCCGGAAACCTTGATTTAAATAATCGATTTTGATCTTTTTTTTTTTCTGCTTTTTAGTTACTTTCCTTTAGTTGATTCTCCATTGGTTGGTAATCATTAAAACACGTTGATTTTCAACTAAATATAGTCTCTATGCTAAATTTGGTACTTCTTTTTGCCAACCAGAAGGATACATTATATCTGTAGATTTATTTAAGCAGTTATATAGATTCTTAATTTTTACATTTCCTTGTTATGTTAGAAAATGGTGAATGATGCATTTCTTATTATGGTTTTTTGTTTCTTTTACTTGTTTCAAGCTCTAGTTGGATGGAAATTGGAATTCAATTAAAAATGTGCAAAAACATTGTTTTATTGATTAAATAAAGCTACTTAAATGTCCTATACATATGAGAATTTTTTTTTCAAAACGTGCATTTAAAACTAATTGATTTATTAAACAAAGGAAGTATTATCTGTAGTTGTGAATTGTACTGATTGTTTGATCGCCATGTCCTTCATGATTTTTGAGCTAGTAGATACCATGCTCTCTCATTTAGTTTCTTTTAATATACTGGCGAAAGAAAACAAGCTTTCCTGCTTTTTCAACTCCCAATCAATTTCTTAACTTTGAATGAGCTGGTCATTGAACTGAATTAGTTGAATAAAGTGAAATGAAAATAAAATTCTCTTTGCATCTGCAGAAGAGGCAACTACTGTTAAAGCCAATTTAACACTTCAACAAACTCTGGTTCCAGGTCCTTATCCAATTACTTCCACCAGTTCAGTGGTCTGCCTCTCTTTAAAACTTCAGTAGCAAATGTATTGATTAATGTGGATGTTTTTGTTTTGTTTAAATTATTTTAGTAGGTTATAGTAAGTTTAGGCCGTAGCATAGGTTGTTGTAATTTGAGTTTAATTTTAAACTAATAGATGAAAACCTGTGCTGTTGCACAGATGTAATCTGTAAAGGGGTGTGTGGGTGTTTTTGTTTAAAAAAAGTGGAGAACTTAAAAATTGAACAGTAACAGACCGCAAATCCCAGTGATGATGGAATCTGGTGATATTTTAAACAAAAAGAGTTCTCAACCATCCAGGTAGCTGTTTCCATCGCTTCACACTGACTTAGCGGATGTTCAGAGTTGTGGTTGGGTTATTCTACGTGCTGATAGTTGTGGGGTGTGGGTGGTTGTATTTGTGTTGTCCTGGGAGAGTTGTGTAGATTTTGTGCAGGTGGTGAATGAGAACAGGGTGCTCCAGTGAGGCGAAGGGTGTTTGAGGCTATTGTATGTACTGGTTGTAGTCCTGTGGATGGTTTTGAAGAACTGTAGCAGTGGGCCAGGTAATCCATTATCTATGGAGTCTTCCTCATACAACTGGGGAAATTGTTGCCTGCTAATTAGCTGTTGAGTAAGGGTGGTGTTTGGTTGAGTTACTTCTGATATCACAGTAGACTAGGACTCTTGATATGGCAGACTTTTATTTACTTATTAAAATCATTTAAGAAAGTAGTTTATAGTAAGTTTAGGCCTTAAACTCAAATTATAACAGCCTCTGTTAATTTTGAAACTAGTAACTGAAAGCCCTTGCTGTCGCATGGGTGTAATTCATAAAGTCAAAATGGCTGAGAACTTAAAAATGGGACAGTAACAGACTGAATCCCAGTGATGATGCAACTTGATGATATTCTGAACAAGAGGAGCTCTTAACCATACTCGTAGCTGTTTCCATCGCTTCATGCTGATTTAGCAGACATTCTAGGCTTAAAAAAAATCAATTTTTTAAAAACGATTGATTTTTACCCAACCTGTCGTGTCTAACTATCTAGGATCCCTCTGGCTGCTGTTGAGTGCTCATCAAAAAATCCAATATTTGGATCTTGTCAGCCATATAGAATACAGTTGAGTACACTGTATACTTTGATAGGAGCATTTTGAAAAGTGAATTTGCCATCTGGCGTGGAGTCTTTTGTTGGTTGTTGACTTGTTTTGTTTTCCTGTTGTAGCTACACTCCTGAATATTCCAGGCTTTGTTGAGCGATTATGCAAACTGGCAACGAGGAAAGTATCGGAAACAACGGGTACTTCCAATTTCCTTCAGGAGTTAGAGGAGTGGTACACCTGGCTGGACAATGCACTTGTTCTTGATGCCCTGATGCGGGTAGCAAATGAGGAGGCAGAGCAGAGCAGCACAGGTATCTGTTGCTATTTACTAATCTATAGTTTTGTTTTATGGCTTGTAGAATAGCTGGGTTTCGCTTCTCTCTCCTGCCCCATTCCCCCTTCCAAAAAAAACCAAAAACATGTTGAGCACAGTATGCTTAGATCTGTCTCCTATTTTACTGCAAAGTGATGAGTGGATTTTTGTACTAATCAATATATCCTGTTGCAAAGTTTACATCTCAGCTGTCCGAAGAGCTCCTTATATAGTGTTATGCTTACAACCCTCAGAATCCCTCTCACAAGAGGTAGGAGAGTTTTTTATTTCCATTTTACAGATGGGGGAGGGGGGGACCTGAGGCACAAGTTAAGCCATTTGCTCAAAATCTACAGCTAATTGGCTGTAGCATTGGGATTAGAATCCAAGCATTCTTGCATCCTTCTCCATGCTCAGGCAACTCAGTGATTCCTCTTCCCACAATGGTAAGTAATTTGGATAAACTGTTAATTGTTTCAACAAATTACTTAGCTGCTAGCTCTGTCTGAATTAAGAGGAGTTAGAACCATACAAATGTAGGGCTGGAAGGGACCTGGAGAGGTCATCAAGTTCAGCCCCCTGTGCTGAGACAGGGCCACGTAAACCTCAACTGTCCCTGACAAGTTTGTCCAACCAAATCTCCAATGATGGGGATTCCGTCATTCTTTCCTTGGAAGCCTGTTCCAGAGCTTAACTACCCTTGTAGTTAGAAAGCTTTTCCTAATATCTCACCTCAGTCACCCTTGCTGCAGATTAAGCCCATTACTACTTGGCCTACATTCAGTGGACACAGAATAATTGGTCCCCATTCTCTTTGTAACAGCCCTTAACATATTTGAAGACTGTCGTCATCAGTAGTCTTTTCTGAGGACTAAACATGCCCAGTTTTTGTAACGTTTCTTCACAGGTCAGGTTTTCTAGACCTTTTATCATTTTTGTTGCTTTCTTCTGGACTCGCTGTCCAATTTGTCCGCATCTTTCCTACAGTGTGGCACCCAGAATTGGGCGCAGTACTCCAGCTGAGGCCTCACCAGTGCCATGTAGACAGGACAGTTACCTCCCATGTCTTAAATACAACGCTCCTGTTAATACACCCCAGTATGATATTGTCTCAATTTGCAATTGCATCACGTTGTTGAGACTCATTCAATTTGTGATCCAGCAGTGCTACCACCAAGCCAGTTACTCCCTATTCTGTAGATGTGCATTTGATTCCCCCCCCCTTTCCTAAATGTAGTACTTTGCACTTACTATAGAATTTCATCTTGTTGATTTCAGACCAATCCTCCAATTTATCAAGGTCGTTTTGAATTGTAATCCTGTGCTCCAAAGTGCTTGCAACCTCTCCCAGTTTAGTGTAATCTGAAAATTTTATAAGCATACTCTCCACTCCATTATCAAAGTCATTAGTGAAAATACTGACTGTACCAGACCAAGGACTGCCCCCCATGGAACTCCACTAGATACACCATCCCAGTTTCACAGCAAACCATTTATAATTACTCGGAGTACAGTCTTTCAACCATTTGTGCACCCAATTTACAGTAATTTCATCTAGACCAACGTTTCACTAGTTTGCTTATGAGTGTCATGGGGTACTGTATCAAAAGCCTTTCTAAACTCAAGATATATCATGTCTCCTGCTTCCCACCATCCATTAGGCCAGTAACTCTGTCAAAGAGGAAATTAGAGTGGTCCGGTATGGTTTGTTTTTGACAAATCCATGATGGCTTTTCCTTGTAAGCACAGGATAATACAGTTAAGTTGATTGTTCAATAAGCTGTTCCATTGTCTTTCCAGGTATCACACTTAGGCTGACTGGTCTGTAGTTCCCTAGGCCCTCTATTTCCCCCCTTTTAAAGCTAGGTACTATGTTTGTTCTTCTGCAGTCCTCTGGAACCTCACCCATCCTCCATGTGTTCTCTCAAAGATAATGGCTAATGGTTCCGTGATTGCTTCAGCCAGTTCCTTAAGTATCCTAGGATGAGTTTCATCAGGCCCTGCTGACTTGAATACGTCTACTTTATTGAAATATTCTTTAACCCATTCTTTCTCTATTTTTGCTTGCATTCCTTCCCCCTTTTTATGTTTGTTTAAAGTTGTTATGTAAGCCCTGAAGTATTGTTATGAAAATGGCATACACACTCCCTTCACTATGGGAATACAAAGTCAGAAGAAACCATTCTGATCTTCTTAGTTTGACCACTTGTATAACACAGGAGGTGGACTACTCTCCCAAAAACGTACTCTCCTTAGTGGAGTAGACCTTTATAAAGTTGTTTTCTAGATCCCCAAATTTTACATAGCTTCTGAAGATACATAGAAGCAACTGTCCTCTTGATCCTACTTGATCAGAATTGTGGCAAAAACTCTTATTAAAAATCCTGCAAATATACTAAAACAAAATTAAGTGTAGGTCTTGCACACAGAGCTGTCTCTGAGCAGTGTGCTATCTCCGTATGTGTGCACAATTTTGGTTTAGTGTAAAGTGGGGAAAGCTTGCTACTATAAAAGAGAGCTCTCTCAGAAAAGGAGTGCACACATTTCGCAGATCTCTCGATCTTGGATAATCTGTGTGATCGTCAGAATAAGGGCTGCAACTTCCTCTTCTGGGCAATGTGAGCATCTCTCTGACTCTGGCTGCGTGCCTCCCAGCACTCATGCATGTTTACCAGTTCACAAACCTGAAGTATAGGGACAGCATGACTTGCACCTCCTTAAGTTAAGCCACCATGATGGGTCTAACTTTAAATCCTAGCCTGTTTTATTTAAAGTGTGTCAATTTTGTGATCTAAATAATTCCAAATCGTGGCTTCCATTGCATCCCAAACATGTTACGTTCTTAGCTCTGTCCTTCAACATTATACTTACAGAATGGATTTTCAGAAGTATTCAGCACTGGCCTACCTGTAACCCCCACTGGAGATAGTTAGAGGAGAGTTAGGCCAAAGCTGAGCATTTTTGAAAATCACACCCCTAATTCATGATTTCCTGTGTACAAAGAGAGCAAGGGTAAAAGAAGTGACATAATGTCATTAGGAATTTCACATTTGTAATCCATTAGTTTCGTGTATGAAATGCTGTTTGGCTTGTTATCGGAAGGTGAGCTATTTAAAAAAATATTTGAGGTAAGGATCCTAACACCGTCCTAATCTAAACCTCAGTGGTGCATCTCCCATAGTGAGAAAAACGTCTCGCAGATAACTTGCAATTGCTTATTTCAGTCTCATGACACATCTTCATTTTTACTAGGAAGATCTTCAGTTAAATGTGCTGGTCATACATTTGCAGTACTTCAGTATTTGCTATTACATAAAGCAGTAACCAATCCTTTCCTGTGGGGACTACCTCAGGCTCATGTCTCTGATCTCTCATTTAGAATCTTCAGATGAAAGTGGATTAGCCAACACCTCAACAAGAACTCAGCTTCCGCAGTCCATGAAGATCATGCATGAGATCATGTACAAGCTGGAGGTGTTGTATGTTCTCTGTGTATTGCTGATGGGGAGACAGAGGAATCAGGTGAGTGTCTACCTAAATGTTCATGTGTGCATAGAATAGTCATTGTCTCTTTAAATCCAAGCATTCAGTTTAGCTTACTTGAACCCACCACCATGCACTCCAAGTTTTTGTTTAGTGAAGCTCTATTGGAGTCAGTAGTTAGAAAGTACTCAGTACTTTCCCATATAGAATTCCTTTACTTCTGGTCCTCATGGTGAGGTTTGTAAACACTTTTTTATTTAGAGAAAGTTCTACAAACAAATATACATTTTAAGCACAATCCTATAAGCACAAATAACCGGTACTTTATAAACCTACATACGGATACAAAAGAATATGAAAATGAACAGAAGAATTGTTCATGGTAGTACCCAGTGTGCGCTTAGCTGCTTTCTGGGCAAAGCACAGTCCCTACTGCATGGAGTTCACAGTTCAAGGATATACAGAGAGGGTGAAACTAATATAATATATAGGCTGGGTCTATGGCATCAAGAAAATCATGGACTCTGTGAAAGGCTCTTTGAATTTTTGGGGGGGTATTGTGTAATTCAAAGACTTAATTTCTGACTTTTTCCATTGCAAGGATGCAGCTTTCATAATATACATGAATGTGCTGCAAAAAGCTGCCTCCGATTTCTATCCCACACCAACCCCTTTCGCTATCATAAGGTGCAAACTTTGCTGCATACAGGAGTCTATTTGAATACTATTTTTGTTGAGCATGGCTGTCTGAGAAGCAAGTGTTCCCCTGAAATCAAGGCACATTGTAAGAAAATACTTCTTTATAATTCCGCTATGATGAGAAATGCCAGCAAGAAAACAGTGTGTTCTCCCTCTGCTGTTTCTGCCATGGTAACCACCATATATATCAGCAGTTGCCAGGCTGAGGGGATTAAAGGTCATAGGTTTGTGACCTCAGTCTTCCAATTTGGGCAACCAAAGATCTTGCTTCAGAAATTCCATGCAGAATTACGCTGTTGTGTCAGGAGGTTACAAAACTCTTTTTGGATCACTGATTTATGAGAAAAAATGTAAACAGGCATTTAATTTTTCAGTAAGGGAACATTCTAATAAACTAAATTCTCTAATACTGAAACTTCTCTCTAAATTCTCTTCCTGGTTATGTTGTACACTGTTCAATTCTTCTCTGTAGTGCTAGCAGTGACTCAGTTACCACACTTCACTGCTGCCTTGGGATGATCACACCCTAGTAGAGAAGTGGTGCTTTACTTCATTTCTTGGCTTTTATTGCCCTGTAATTATAACCACACCCTCATGTAGTCACTTCACATATTTCTTTAGGTTGTCTTACATGGTTCTACTTAAGCGGTGAAAGATACTCTGCTGTTCTACCTGCTCCTTTCTTGGGGAGCCAAGCTGCACACGTTAAGAGGAAGTGTGATGGGGTTTAGCATAATGAGCTAGAGAACTGGAAATGGGCATTAAACCGTCTTCACAATCTTGAGCAGCAGTGGGAAGATGCCAAAGAGGATTTGAAGTATGTACTGTAAAATAGGATTTGTTCTGGCATTAAACTGAACTATATAGCTATAGTTCAAATGGGGCCTCTAGGAGGGACAATGAAATTAGAAGTCAACCCTTATGGTTTATGGGTGTTCTAGCATGCAAAGGTTAGCTCCGCTAGGTCTTACAGTTCAGCAGGCTAACATTAAGAAGGCAGGAAAGTGGCTAGGGGTGTGTTGGTTGGCACAGGACACAAAGGCACTGGGTATGACAGAATCTGATTCCTGTTTAAACAATGAACACTGGTGGAGACAAAAGGGAGCTGCTCCTTTCACATGCATGGTCTGCATTTTCACATGCAGCTTTTGCATTTTATAGTTCACCCTGCTGTGGTTATGCCATACTGGCCACTGTAAGAGGCTAGTGCATCCAAAGTACTGCTGACCGGTATTGGCAACTTACATAAGTGTCTCCAGAAATGATTGGGAGAGTCCCTTGCTCTGTGCAGGAGGCTCTTGGTGTGTGGGAGCATGTGAAGGCAGAGGTGGGGGTAGGTAAAAGGCTGAGTGAAATGTTGGACAGAGTGCAAATATAATGTTGGGAGGATTCCACTTTCTGGGACTGCTGAGATAGACTTCATGTGTGGTGCTAGAAAACTGATGCAAAAACAGGATCCCTCATTCCCTGTTAGTGAAATGTCCTGGTTTGCTGAAATCATGTCAAAATGTGACTGCAGGCAGTCCGTGGATTTCAGTACTATGACTGCTAAACAGAATGGCAGCTATGAAAATGATTGATCCAAATAAAATTAAGAAACATGGAATGACCTGCTGCTTGGGTTAATCTAAACAGCGTAACTATTTGAGGAAAGATGGGCCAAATGAGATGGACTGATTTTAAAAAACAAAAATAAAATATTTTTACTTCCTGTAACTCATAACCTGTGCTGTCTCAACTCTGCTGTATTTATAATACAGCCCTTGCCCTGTATACCTGTCAACCTCTTTTAATACTTTTGTAAGGTTATAATTTGCATCAACCACAATCTTTAATAAAACTGGTAACTAAAATACGGAACAGTCTACTAGAGTTGTTGATGGGAGTCCAGAGGGAGCCTGCCATTGGTAGGGGAGGGCACACAGGAACAAGACTGTCCTAGTCAGGCTTGTGAGTAGAACTCTGACTTGCACCTCATCTCCAGGGGCATTGCTCATTTTAGTCCCAAAGCTCCCGACATTCCACACATACACTTGGCCTTCTCTTCCCCCCCCTCCAAATCACTTACATCAGAAATGGAGAATCCTGAATCTGAGGTGTTAATTGAAGTCCTTTACTCAGAAGGAAGAAATCTCACAGCATAAGTTTCCTGCATGACTGACTGACTCCCTCATTCTGGGTTTGTCACATGGTGTCCCACATCTGGGCCTTGGCAGGCATAGAGGCGTGCTTGAGAGATGATGATCTGCATTTTCTTTTTCTTTTTTAAAAGGGGGGTGGAGTGTGGGAAGCATCAGGAAAAACATACTGGTTTGCTGACTAAAGCGTGTGCTGCTTGTGCATTGCAGGTCAGTTCCCTGCTAGTGCTGCAGGACAACATTCTCCACAGCACCTAGTATCACACGCTAGGACACTTGAAAATAGTGCCTGTGGCATTTTCCATTCCTGCCTGCAAAGAGCCACCCTAGAATCAGTGGCCTGACCTATGATCAGCAGAAAAGACACTAGGGAACTGGCACTAAAATGTTACAGGAAGAACTTTAGAATAGATATATAGTTGGGTGTCCCTTTACCTTCAGTGTGCTAAATTTCCTCTTCCAGAGTACACTGTTTCCCCTAGTTCATTCTTCATCAGAGGAACCTCCATAAATTCAAGTATCAGTTTAGGCTGTCTCCAAAGAAACTGGATCAAATGTTTCTGTTCAGTGGAAGCGGACAATTTAATTCTTGGAGGAGACTGAAGGCTTCCCCTTGGGATTCACCACTTCTTGTGTGTGGAGTAAAACCCACGTTGTTCAGTAAAGCATTTCAGTGTCTCTAACATGAGATGATGTAGCTATGCCCATCTGTGTTCTAAACTGCCCCTTTCCCCTTTATGAAGGCACCAGAAACAACCAGACAAGTTTAAAATTTTTCTTTTCCAGGTTCACAAAATGATAGCAGAATTCAAATTGATTCCTGGCCTTAATAACCTGTTTGACAAACTGATCTGGAGGAAACATTCAGCATCAGCCCTTGTTCTGCATGGGCATAACCAAAATTGTGACTGTAGTCCAGTGAGTACCCTAATTTCACATTTTGCATGGTAATTTAGATGCTACAGTTGTAGTAATTTTTTTTTCCCTTGGAGTTGCTGTAGTCCATTGATTTGAGAGCCTTGATACCAGATACGAAGCATTGCTTTATACCTGGAAATTTGGAGGTAAACGTAGTATTTATTTTAAATAAACTTAGCTTTGTTAAATTGCACACATCCCATCACCCTTTCCATTCTCTTCTGTTTTGGGAAACTCATGATGAAGTTCGTTCCTTCCTTATTCCAATTGCTTGTCACACTCAGGATGTTGTAATTACTTTTTCAGTCTTGAAAGATTTCCATCTCCAGCCTAGTCTGAGATACCTATTTCTTCTGTGTTTATCATTAGTGATGATGCTGTAATATGTACAATACATATTTTAAAGGGTTTTTTCACCCTTCTGTTTTTTTTGTAGGACATTACTTTAAAGATACAGTTTTTGAGGCTTCTTCAAAGTTTTAGTGATCATCATGAGTAAGTATGGAAAAAATAAGCTTACAGTAAATTGTATTTAGTGGCATCTCTTGTTCCCTTTTAACTAAATTATTGAGCACCCTCAAATGTATTTAGATGCCTTGCCCTGACCTATTATATTTAAATGTCCCACTACTGATATAAAAAGAATTTTTTGGTAAATGAGAAACAGTGTGAAAGTAGGTTTCATGAGTCAGTAGGTGGCTCTCCTCCCTCAGTGAGTACTGAGCCAGTGCAGTAGTGTAGCACAGGGGTTTTGCTGCAGATCTTTTTAAATAGCAAAATCAAGGTCTAGGCAACTTGTGATCATTAAGGATCCCATGGAACTCTTCACAAGTGACAGTTCAGTCCTGATAAAACTCAGCTTGGGGAATTGTATTTAATCATCCTAAATTTCTTCCAGTAGCTTAAATTGATAAAACTATTCATTATGTACCATCCTGTAAACACTATCTCAGGTACTGTGTATGCAGTTTTTCCTTCCAAAAGGTAGGAAGGTGGTCTCAATATTCTAGTATTTGCTGATTGGATGTCAAAAATTGGGTGCCTTTCTAAGGGCTGGTCCACACTGGGGCGGGGGATCGATATAGGAAACGCAACTTCAGCTACGAGAATAGCGTAGCTGAAGTCGACGTTTCCTATATCGAACTAAATTTACTTACTTCGGGTCCACGCGGCGCAGGCAGGCTCCCCCGTCGACAGCGCTTCCTTCTCTCGGCAAGCAGGAGTTCCGCAGTCGACGGGGGAGCGCTTCTGGGATCGATCTATCGCGTCCAGATGAGACGCGATAAATCGATCCCAGAAGATCGATCTCTACCCACCGAATTGGGCGGGTAGTGTGGACCAGCCCTAAGAGTATGTCTGCACTGCAGTTAGACACACGCAGTTAGCCCATGCCAGCTGACTCAGACTCGCGGGCCTTGGGCTAAGTGGCTATTTAATTGCCGTGTGGACATTCAGGCTCAGGTTGGAGCCCGAGCTCTGGGACCCTCCCCCTCAAAGGGTACTATAGCCCAGGCAGCAGCCAGAGCCTGAACATCTACACTGCAATTAAACCAGCCCATGAACCCAAGTCAGCGGGCACGGGCCAGCTGCGGGTTATTAATTGTAGTGTAGATGTACGCTAAAAGATCTGCTATAGCGTAACCAGGAGTTGTGGGCTCAATGCAGAAATTCACTGGGTGAGATTGTGTAGTCTCTGTTATAAAGAAGGTCAGACTAGACTAGATTATCATTATGGTCCCTTTGGCCTTGAAATGTATGAATTTAGGACTATTAAAGCCTTTCCACGCACAGTCCTAGTAGAAATGTAAGGTGGTAACTCACCTGTGAACAGATAAATTTCATGGCTTTGCTTTCTGCGAGAGCTATAGGATGATGCAAATATTTCTTAGTGGTACAGCTTGAGGAAACTGCACACATTTTGCTAGTGTGTGTATTGCTCTGGGTTATAATGTGCAGAATCCAGGCGTACCATTCTTTGAAGGTTAGGCCTCAGCTGGAGTATTGCGTCCAGTTCTGGGCACCGCATTTCAAGAAAGATGTGGAGAAATTGGAAAGGGTCCAGAGAAGAGCAACAAGAATGATTAAAGGTCTTGAGAACATGACCTATGAAGGAAGGCTGAAAGAATTGGGTTTGTTTAGTTTGGAAAAGAGAAGACTGAGAGGGGACATGATAGCAGTTTTCAGGTATCTAAAAGGGTGTCATAAGGAGGAGGGAGAAAACTTGTTCACCTTAGCCTCTGAGGATAGAACAAGAAGCAATGGGCTTAAACTGCAGCAAGGGAGGTCTAGGTTGGACATTAGGAAAAAGTTCCTAACTGTCAGGGTGGTTAAACACTGGAATAAGTTGCCTAGGGAGGTTGTGGAATCTCCATCTCTGAAGATATTTAAGAGTAGGTTAGATAAATGTCTATCAGGGATGGTCTAGACAGTATTTGGTCCTGCCATGCGGGCAGGGGACTGGACTCGATGACCTCTCGAGGTCCCTTCCAGTCCTTGAATCTATGAATCTATAAGATTTTTTTTTTTTTGTATTCTTGTTTGATAGGGCCAGATCACTTTTCCCCATGGTACATCTTTTCACTTTTGGTGTTGACATTTATTTGTATCTAACTGTAGGCATTATCTTTGATGCCAGCACTTCAGTTCCAGCCATGAGGTATTAATGTAACCATCCTATCTCACTCGCTAAGTAGGATATTTTCTCTGGATTGTGTCAGAGCCATCAAATGTCATTTGCTATGTAAATTTTAGCTGCGCTTTATAAAATGCATAAGATTTTTAGATTGGATGCTTAAGGGCTCCAACCCATGTAATTATGGGACACACTGCATAGCTACAGGAAATTACCAAACCCAACAAATATAGATTATTAGAATGTACAGGAAAGTCCAAACTACACCTACGTGGAGAAAACTAACTTAATTTAAGAAGTGTTCTGTGTCACATGCCTTTATCCGATAATTCGCTAATTACATTCTGATTACATACCTTTTCAACAAACATCCCACTGCATGAAAAATGTCAATCTGTAATTTGTAATGTAATTTTCTGTGGGCCACTTCATAATCTCCTGAAAACAGGGACTGGCAAAGGAAGTGCTGCGAGGTGTAGAGCTCTAATAGGAACTAATGCAGAAGTGCTTTCTGACAATGATAAATAAAGTGTTCACTTCTACACACAGACAGTGCAGGTAATTTCCATTTCAAGGAGCAATCTAAATTACACCTATAGCACTGGATTCTGACTTGTTTGTAATGTTTCAGGGGGAAAAGTGCAAGGATAAAAAAATACCAAAACTGTCCTAAGAGTATGCACACGTTGCTCAGAATGAGGGAACACACATCTCATCTCGAAAGGTCAGAATGGGGTAGGTGGAGGGAACCCAGATGCTGTTCTCTTGTACCCTCAGAAGCTTCTGGTCTAGACAGTAAATAATGCTCTTACACCAATTCTTATTCTATAAAAGTGTCACATTTACCTTGTTCTGCTATGGCCAGGCCAAAACTGAGAGATCTCCTGCTGTGAAAACTGGGACCTAGATCTGTATCTCAGCCCATCAAAAACTTTCCCTCTGCAGCCACTGTTAGCCCAGCAACAACTCCCAGATGGTACAGTAAGTCTCCTCAGATGCTGTCCGTATTAAAGCGATCACTATAAAAACCTCAAGCATGGTTGAAACAAAAATAATAAAGTTAAACATCTAAAAGTTGAACATATTTAGATCATGAAAATTGGAATCCACTGAAACTGAATGGAAAGTGTGGAATCTAAAACAGAAATGCTTGAGAAAATGGATTATTAAAATTAAGTAATAGTAAAGTAAAATCTCTGTGTTAAGGCATGTAAAATGACTGGTAAACTTGAGTTACCTGAAAACCCAATGAAAGCAAGAGACTGAAGAGTGCTTGAACTCAGCTGGTACAGGGAGAGAGGACTCAGCTAAACCCCTGAGTTACTGGCTAAGGATTCAGAGAATTCCATTTTTAATAGTGAGAGATGTTAGAATTCCATTGCAGAAACCTATTGACCTGGAAGGAAACAGAGATACCATGTGGCAACTCCAGCTGATGCTAATCAGCAGGGTAAGGTGTTAAAAGTAATAAGGCATCTGAGGAACAATTTATATTTTTGTCTTGCTCCAGCATCTTAAAGTAGGGGAGAAGTGTTGGCAGATGCTAAACAATACTTTTAGAGAGATCTCAATCATTACTATAGCCAGTGAAAGGAAAGCCTTTTGTAGTCTTGGAGGTCACCTTGACTGACTGGTGGCTGGAATTGGTGTGGCCTAGAAAATAGCTAGATAGTCCTGATAATGAAGGCGAGGAGGCTATGTTTGTAGTTAAAAAAATTAATCAATAAACCATTGTTGGCCACTTGCAACTAAACCAGGCTAAAGTTATGATTTACAGAAAAAATGAGTGTGTTGCATTTGAAAGAATAGTTCTTGTAGTGCATTTCTGTTAGATCAAAAAAAAATTTCTTTCATAGTGAATATTGTAGAATAGAGTATATAAATGATTTTCGCTCTCTCGAAAATGGTGAATGGGCAATTCAGGTTTATTTGAATGACATTGGAAAAACACTTTCTCTTTTATGTAGTTACTTGGCTAAATATTTTATTGTGTGAGTTCTTTACATTGCTATACCCGTCCCTGTTTTCTAGTTTGTTTCCTGATGTTTTTTGGCACTTTCCAGGAATAAAATAATAACATAGTCAAGTAAATTGTAACCAAGTACTGGAAAATTTGAGTGCCTTATACAATTTAATGTTACTAGTAAATCTTCATATTATTGGGCAACTACTGATAGGCAGCATAGAGACTCTTTTTGAGGGGTTCTTGGAAGGCTGTGCTATCTGAAATTGCTGAAATCTGTTAAGCTGCCATTTTGTATTTTTGTAAGTTAATGTCATAGCTTCCAACAGATTAAATAGCAATTATTGTAGGTGAAATACCTCTATTTTGTAAGTGCTGAAAGGCTATCCTTGTTGTATTGTATCTTTTTCTCTAATTTGCTTTTGGATGGTTATGGTATAATAAAAAAGACAAGTGTAAGAAGCCTGGCACTGCTTTTTTAACGATTAGTGACGGACTGAATTTCGGGAGGACTGGCAATGTGATAGCATGCACTCTTAGGCAGGGCAACAGCCTGTTAGTGGGCTGCATAAATAAATGTCTGTTCCCATCTTTCCAGTTTCACAAATAACTTAGCCACACTGTCTTGTTTGGCTTGGAGTTGCAGATTGCAGATGCAGTACATATAACTAGCAACATTACATAAATCATGAATTAAGGAAACAAATGGATGTGCTCAGCCTCATTTTTCCTTTTTTCTCTCAATGATTTTTTTTCAGGAACAAGTATCTTCTGTTAAACAGCCAAGAACTTAATGAACTGAGTGCAATCGCCCTCAAAGCCAACATCCCTGAAGTAGACGCAGTTGTCAACACAGACAGGTAGGGAGGAAGCTATAGGTTTTGTAGCCTGCTATTTCAAGCTCTTAAACTCGGAACGTTTGGTAAGTACTTACACTAGAGGTTTTATTTTATCTGCTCTGTTTGAAATCCTCCATGAAGCCCCGTTCCCTTAACTTCAGCAATAAGTTGCACTAGCAAAACCACTAGGAAATTATGGAAATGCAAAGAATTGCATTTTCCATATATCACATGTGAAAGAAGCTAGGTGAAACTGCCACATCAGTATCAAATAGTGTTGCTCTATAAGGTCATTGCATTGCCAGGTGGAGAACCAGATCCTTCAAAGGAAGAAATAGCTACCCCTATTTTCATAGTAATGACTAGCTGACCTCTTAAAATGCACTTTATACTCTAAAAAGAGGCTGTGACAATGGCATTATGGAGTTTGACGTTTGTGTCCATGATCTCCATGTTATATGCTTTTCTAACTGCCAGCCTCACAAACTGGGTGTTGTGAAGCAAGCTGGAATCTTTCTAGCTCATGAATAGCCACCAGTAATATTTTGCAGTTGGGATTTAGGCCTGGCCTACACACACATTACGCCAATTTAACTAAACTGATTATTTCACTAAACTGTTGAGAAGATATGAGTACCTGCCAAAGGGGTTCGATTTAAAAGTGGCTGATAACCAAATTAAGCTAAATTGACATAACATATGTAAACCCATTTGAGTGGCCCCATAAAGGTGTTCTACGATACTGATCTAGTTAAATCAATATGACTTCTGAAGACAAACCCTTGGTAAACAGTTCTCTTCATGTGCTAGACAAGAGTCCAGCTCACTCCCTCTGCAGGGCTCGGAAGACAAAGCCAACGAACGTATTTGGGTCACTAAACCCTACAGCTAATGTTTCAGACCAGGGAGCTGGTGCGAGTGGAAAGGTGCCATTGGCTTCGAAAAGGAATCTCTGGCACATGATGGGATTTCCCAGTTCTTAAATGTTGCCAACTTCCTCGTTATCTGCCTTGTTGGTGAGAAACCACCACCGGTGTTGACCAGATCCTCTCTTCCTGAGCACTGCTGCTGTTCCAGCCCTCCTTCAACCATTCAGAGGGAAATGCTGCCCTGTGTTGTACGTGTGCTAGAAGGAGGAGGGGCGAGGCCACAGATAACCTCTTCCATCCTGTGTAATTTGCAGAGGAACCTTCCCTATTTTCTGATAGCACTAGTAAGGGGAGCCAGCTGTCCCGCAGCCAGTGCCCTCCTTTGTGAAAAGCTCTGTTCTGTAGGCTCCAGGCTGCATCCAGCACCTCAGCTGGCCGGTACACAAGCAGTGACCAGCATGGACCAACTGAGCAGGCATGCTGCCTATCTTTTTGAACAGTAGAAAAACCCTAAACTATCTTGCCCTACACCTGCAGGTTGGCTCATGATCTAAGCACATGAACAGAACCATTCCATTTCCTGCCCTTCTTGTTTTCAGGTGCCACGTCCTTTCTGAATAAACACAGTTTTTCTGGCAGCATGTCTGCATATACCGCCTGCATAAATACATCTCCCAGTTGTGTCAAGGTGCTGTTCATGTTTGTGTGCTTCAGTTTCATGGGTTTTTCCTGCGGAGACTAACCACTTATTTAGGCCACTGCCTCGGTCTGAATTCCGATACAAAAATGTTGTGCTTGCTGAACCAAACTCTCCTTTCTACAAATGTGTAGTGAGACCCAGCCCCCTCCATTCTCATTCCAAACTGTCAGGCCTGCTGCTGCTCCTGCTCACAGTGCTCATATTTCTTTTGTATTTGGTAATGTTTCAACAAAAATGCTTTGTTTGAAACTTCCTTGAAATCCAGTTACACTGCAGCTCTTGCAGACTGCAACATCAGAGCTACGTGGGAGCCGTTGTCATCCGTTCTTGTGGGCAATGTGAAATGCTCATGCATGACATTGCTGTGTGATACTGGACTCTTCATATTAAGCTTTGTGAGTAGAATGTAGCTTCATCTCCAGAAGTATGCTCTGTAGTGACCTGCTTTTGCCATCCTTATACTCATATTTGTAATATTCCCCCCGCATTCTTTAGAAGTCTAGTCTGCGATGGAAAAAGAGGTTTGTTAACCAGGCTACTACAGGTCATGAAGAAAGAACCAGCTGAGTCCTCTTTCAGGTGGGTTCCATTTACATTGATGTATGTGGTTTTTTGGTGGGGTGGGAAGACTTGCTAGTCTTCAGAGTTCATGACCGCTGAAGTATTTTATTATCCATCATGAGAAGACTTAAAATGTTCTGATTTGGTTTCTCTGGTAGTGTGAGTGGAATAGAGTGACTATTCTATGGAATTGCTTTACACCGCTTCACTTTCATGTTGAAACTAAATGGACAGGGAAACTTAGTTTAGCCTGAGATGTACACCTCTACCCCGATATAACACGACCGGATATAACACGAATTCGGATATAACACGGTAAAGCAGTGCTCGGGGGGGAGCCTGCGCACTCCGGTGGATCAAAGCAAGTTCGATATAATGCGGTTTCACCTATAACGTGGTAAGATTTTTTGGATCCCGAGGACAGCGTTATATCGAGGTAGAGGTGTATGTGGTAAAGTAACTTTTCCCAATGAGCTGTTATAGCCTTGTTGAATTAGTAAAACTTCATTTATATTTGTCTCAGGTTTTGGCAAGCAAGGGCAGTTGAGAGTTTTCTACGAGGTGCCACTTCCTATGCAGACCAGATGTTCCTGCTAAAGAGAGGACTCTTGGAGGTAATAACCTAGATATCTGCTCTGGCACAAATACACTGTAACAAACTTAGCATGTATCTCCATGGGAATCGGTGGGTTTAATTTTTAAGAAAATCCAGGAAGCTTAAAAAATGGGTGCTAGAATTCACTGCCGCAATAGGCAGACCTTATATCTAATGCAACACTTTGAGAGGTGTAGCTCTGGTTTCAACAACAAGATAAACTTTTAAGGGGGTGATCACATTTGGTAAATCTGTGATTATAGGAACCTGAAATGTTGTACGTGATCATAGTTGTTAGGTTTGGTTAAATCTAACTCTGGGAACTGGTACAGGTACTTACAGTATCCAGATTCTAAGTGATTTATATCTACCTTAGATTCAGATCTTAGATACTCCATTTGTGGGTGCTATGGAAAAAATCACCTGATTTACCTACTCTTAAAAGAATGAAATGTGGATAAACTTTTTGAAGCAGTAATTGGATCACAAGCATTTGAATCTGAGTTTACTGGTGACTTAGGCTAAAATGTGGTGGTAACACACTTTCCTTTCTTGCCAGCATATTCTCTACTGCATTGTTGACAGTGAGTGCAAATCACGGGATGTGCTTCAGAGTTACTTTGATCTACTGGGAGAACTGATGAAATTCAACATTGATGCTTTCAAGAGGTTCAACAAATATATCAACACAGATGAGAAGGTAAATCTCTTTTAAAAAAATAAAAATAAAAAAAAATCCAACCACCCTGCTTTGTGCCAAATACTAGGTGCAGTGCTGTGATGTACATGGGTTAATTTGCCCCGTTCCTTTTTCTGGGCAGAAGCAGAAGCAATTTATAATTTGGGGATTGGGGGCTCATAGTTACCTCTGAAATGAACAGGGCATTTGTACTTCTGAGGTACTGTTTGAGGTAGTCTACACTCTTGGATGCACAACCCCTGTTCAGAACGTGACATGGCATCACTGCAAGCAATTAGGCTAGAGACTTAGTCCTTTAAAACAAAAGCTCAAATTCATGAGCACAGTTATGCAGTAACTTTTTCCAAAGGCCATTTGTGTGGTCACATAATTGTACTCATCACAGGGCCTTGTTTGCAGACCTACCTGCTAATCCTAATTACTGTTCACGCCATGGGTAATATCTAGCTTGTTAGCCACACACAATCCTCTCAAAGTGTATGAAACTCTGCTCCACAAGTGCCTAGCACTATAGAGTATATCACTTTTGCAAACGTAGCACTAAAATGTCTGTCTTTAGTTTCAGATCTTTTTGAATCAGATCAACAGTTCACTGGTTGACTCAAACATGTTGGTTCGCTGCATTACATTGTCTCTGGACCGATTTGAGAACCAGTCTGATATTAAAGGTAAAGAAAGACTTGGCAGCTCTTTGAGAGTTTACAATCAGGCTTTAAAATCCTTAATAGGAGTGTGTGTCTCAGATGCATGACTTAGCCCATGTACTTACTGGGTGTGAGCACCAGTTCTTATTGCTGTGCTACCCACGTTGTCAGCTGGGATGGCCTTCAGCTGCAGATCACCCAGCAGTAAAAGAACTTTGTGGCCGAAGACAATCTGTCCTCAGGACAACCACCTTTTTTCAACCAGAAGTCTCCCTTGGCTCTGTTCAGAGAGAAGCACAACCTGTCTGCAGCTCTGAATACGATGCCCAGTCTTGCATTAGGTTCAGGAGTTACTGTCTTCCACTTACATCCAGTTTTTAAGTGACGGTTTCATTCTTTTTGTATCTAAACTCTGCAAATCTAATAATCTGGTTGTCTTCCCTATAGTTGCAGAAGTCTTGTCCGAGTGCCGCCTGTTATCATACATGTCTCAGATGTCCATGAGAATGTCCTTCCTTTTCCGCCTCATTAATATTATTCATGTACAGACACTCACACAGGTAAAGAGCTGACATTAAAATATGATCACTGTAATCATTCATTATGTGTATTAATGGGTTTGGGGGTCTGACTTCTTTTCAAGATGTGCTTGTCTTCACTGTGCACTAGGAGTTAGAAGCATTTATCTTGGATAGATTTGGACCCTAAATGAATTCTGTGTCTTCATTTCATGGAATACTTGATCTCTGCATTTTTCTGTAACTTGATTTCCCATGTCTCCTTTATTTTAGGAAAATGTCAGTTGTTTGAACACAAGCTTAGTTATCTTAATGCTGGCCCGAAGAAAAGACAAGCTACCCTTCTACCTGCACACACTGCAAGAGATGGAATATACGGAAAAATACCCAGGGTTCATCCTGAACAACTTTCACAGTCTCCTGCGATTCTGGCAACAGCATTACCTCAACAAGGACAAAGACAGCACCTGCTTAGAAAATGTATGTTTGATCTCCTGCTGCCTTAGGGGAGAACCATGGTAGTCTTAGTGGGCCAGCTTGCACAAATGGAGAAATGAGAAGTTTTGAGGGAAGTAAGGAAATGGAACTTCCTAAAGTGCTTTTATAGTGTCTTAGCAATTCAGTGCCAGGGTGCACATGATCAGAAGAGTGTGAGGCAACTGTAGGGCTTGGATCTGTTCTATCCTCTGATCAGATCAGAGATGGCACTCTGGCCAGATTCCTGAGGAGTCAGTGCAGAATTGTTCCCTAGAAAGTGTACTGTTCTAGAGCTGTGCCATAAATGTCGCAAGCAATGGGCTTCTACCACTTTCCTTGGAGGGGCAGGAATGGGTGTGTGTATGTGAGGAGCCATTATGCAACTTTCATAGATTTCAATATCAGGAAGCTTTTCATACTATTCAGCCCAGCTTTTCCCTAACTTATGCTAATGCACCTGTCTTGTCCCACATGGTCATGCTTGCCCCACGGATAGCCAAGCGATTCCAATACAGCTCCTTAAGCTTTCACTCGAACGCAGCCCTTCCTGCTCATTAATCTCGTGGTGGTGCTCTTCTCTTAACTCCCTCTAACTTGTCAATATCTCCGTGTTAGGATTGTGCGGGTTAACATTCCAACACTAAAAGTAAATGATGCTCCTCTTCGGTGGCTTATAAATCCTGATCCGTTAACAGTCTAAATGGAACTCTTCTTTGCCCCTTTGTATCTCTACCAAGTACTGTAATGTGCCCTGGCTGGAGAAACAGCTGAATTGTCCTGTGCACCTTGGTGGCAGTAGTCATTGGTAGCTTGGACAGTCCTGAAGGGACTAGCCCCATCTCAATAGCTTTACTTACAGAAAATCCTGTCTTAATTGGATCAAATGCCGGGTAGGTTCAACCACTTTAGGTGTTCAAAGTCTTCCTGATATTTAGTCTAATGGAAAATTAAGGCTTAATTTAATTTGTGCTCAATTTCTTTCCATTAGTCTCATGTTAGCTTCCCTGCCCCTTTGTCTGACCTCACGCTTCTCAACCTCCATGCCATCAATGCCATTTATATTCTTCCTAAGCACTATGTGTAAATGATTCTTTTAAAGCATGTACACAAGCTAAACTCCTCTATAATAGAGGTTGGAGGAGTGTTCAAAACAAGTCTAAAATTCAGCGTTTGTCTATCAGCTTTGACCCCACCCAAGACCCATAGATATCTCCATTAGGGCTATCAAACTATTAAAAAAATTAATCGCATTCTTAAACAATAACAGAATACCATTTATTTTAATATTTTTGGATGTTTTCTACATTTTCAAATATATTGATTTCAATTACAACACAGAATACAAAGTGTACAGTGCTCACTTTATATTTATTTTTGATTACAAGTATTTGCACTATAAAAAAAACAAAAGAAATAGTATTTTTCAATTCACCTAATGCAAGTAATGTATTGCCATCTCTTTATCATGAAAGTTGAATGTACAAATGTAGAACTATATACAAAAAAAACTGCATTCAGAAATAAAGGTGTAAAATTTTAGAGCCTAACAAGTCCACTCAGACCTACTTCATGTTCAGCCAATCACTCAAAAAAACAAGTTTTGTTTACATTTGCAGGAGAGAATGCTGTCCACTTCTTGTTCACAATATCACCTGAAAGTGAGAGCAAGTGTTCTCATGGCACTGTTGTAGCCAGCCTCGCAAGATATTCATGTGACAGATGCGCTAAAGATTCATATGTCCTTTCATGCTTCAACCACCATTCCAGGGGACATGCGTCCATGCTGATGATGGGTTCTGCTCGATAACAATCCAAAGCAGTGCAGACTGATTTTGTATGTTCATTTTCATTATCTGAGTCAGATGCCACCAGCAGAAGGTTGATTTTCTTTTTTGGTGGTTCAGGTTCTGTAGTTTCCGCATCGGAGTATTGCTCTTTTAAGTTTTCTGAATGCATGCTCTACCCCTCGTCCCTCTTAGATTTTCATAGAATCATAGAAGATCAGGGTTGGAAGGGACCTCAGGAGATCATCTAGTCCAACCCCCTGCTCAAAGTAGGACCAATTCCCAAACAGATTTTTACCCCAGTTCCTTAAATGGCCCCCTCAAGGATTGAACTCACAACCCTGGGTTTAGCAGGCCAACGCTCAAACTACTGAGCTATCCCTCCCCCCTTTTGGAAGGCACTTCAGATTCTTAAACCTTGGGTGGAGTGCTATAGCTATCTTTAGAAATCTCACATTTGTATCTTCTTTGTGTTTTGTCAAATCTGCAGTGAAAGTGTTCTTAAAACAAACAACATGTGCTGGGTCATCATCCAAGACTGCTATAACATTAAATATATGGCAGGTAAAACAGAGCAGGGGACATACAGTTCTCCCCCAAGGAGTTCAGTCACAAATTTAATTAACACATTATTTTTTTAATGAGCATCATCAGCATGGAAGCATGTCCTCTGAAATGGTGGCCAGGGCATACGAATGTTTAGCATATCTGGCATGTAAATACCTTGCAATGCTGGCTACAAAAGTGCCATGCAAATGCCTGTTCTCACTTTCTGGTGACATTGTAAATAAGAAGCGGGCAGCATTATCTCCTGTAAATGTAAACAAACTTGTTTTTCTTAGCGATTGGCTGAACAAGAAGTAGAACTGAGTGGACTTTTAGGATATGAAGTTTTAAATTGTTTTGTTTTTGAGTGCAGTTATGTAACAAAAAAAAATCTACATTTGTAAATTGCACTTTCAGGACAGAGATTGCACTACAGTACTTGTATGAGGTGAATTGAAAAATACTATTTCTTTTGTTTTTACAATGCAGATATTTGTAATAAAAAATAATATACACTTTGATTTAAATTACAACACAGAATACATTATATATGAAAATGTAGAACAACATCCAAAATATTTAATAAATTTCAATTGGTAGTCTATTGTTTAACAGCACAATTAAAACTGCGATTAATCGTGATTAATTTTTTAAATCGTGATTGATTTGAGTTAATCACGCGAGTTAACTGCAATTAATCAACAGCCCTAATTTCCATGAAAAGGAAGTAAAATATCCAATGGGAAACTTAACAAGCAAACATCCTCTGCAGTATCTAACCCGGCGTCCACGCTTCCCGCAGGTGAATGAGAGAGAGATTAGGAATGACAGGCTATAAATAGATACGAACCTGACCATCTGGGTTGCTTGCTCGGATGAGAGACACATGTAAACAGCATATATCATGGATGTAAATTACTGTTCTTGGCAGCATGGTGGCAAGTTGCTCAACACTTCCTATTATAAGACCCTTTTTTCCAGTGACTCGTAACTTTTTTGCTAGACTTTTAACTGTTTGGGCTGAAATTTTTCATGCCGGGTGTCTGTCTCAGGCTGATTTTCTTTGGGAGAACTTCAGCCAAAAAGGTTTAGCCATTTCTGAGAATGAGCCTAGGGGAATTTTTTTTTCCCTCGTGTTAAAGTCCCAGTGACCCTTTTCCTCTCAAAAGCTTAGGGCACCCACGCTTTAGAGCAGGGACTTGAAGTTTGGCAGTAGGCTGGTCTTTGTGTCAGGGATGTGCCTTTTGCCATTTCTGTGAAAATGCACCAAAATCTGGTTATATGTTTTTACCATACATGGCCCTTTTTGTTAAACTTGTATGTAAATACCAGACCCCAGAGGATCCCTGTAAGCCTTACGCACTCCTGTGCCACTTGGCACCGAGAGGCCCTTGGGTCACAGAAGGTGTGTAGTGAATGAGGCTGGGCATTGCAGAAAGAGCAAGTCCAATCTCATAGTTAAAGCAGTGGGAATTGTATTCTCTCTGCCTCTACCACTGAGTTCCTGTGTGGTGCTGGGCAAGTCCCTTAAATCAAACCTGTCACAGGGATGTCACTAACTGTGATCCTCATTTTCTGTGTTCCCAACTTGAAACGCTGGTGCCTGATTTTCAAAAGTGCTGGGCACTTGCAGCTGCAGTCGTTGGGAGCTGTGTTTGACTACATTAAGTGCTATACAATGCTGAGCACTCTGAAAAATCAGGTCCTCCGTGTCTCAAATTGGGCATCCACAATTAGTGGAGGATTTTTACCTTAATCTGTGTCTCTATTCCCCATCCCGTAAAATGGGATATTTATCATCTGTATTACAATACCAACCTCTTAGATGACCGTGTGTTATGAAAATAAATTGTTTGAGGCACTCAGTGCTATAGCGATGAGTGCCATAAGAAAGCCCACGAGGAAATTAATAATTCTGTCTTCAGAGCAGGGCTTGAATAGTGCCCAGTAAGGCCTGGGCCCCACCTTGAACAATGAGAAATCAAAAGTTGGAATCACTTCATTCAGTGCGCACTGTCCCTCCTGTGCACTGAATGGGGTCCTGTGAGTAAAACTGCAATTAGTCTGTATCACCTTGAATGGTCCCTTAGAATATATGCTAACGACTTCTACTAAACGATCCATTTAATCTTGTATTTAGCTGTGACCTTGTCTACACTAGAACTTCCTTCGGTATGACTTGCGTCACGCAACGGTGTGAATAATCCACACCCTGAGCAACAAGTTACACCGACCTAAGTGCCAGTGTAGTCAGCGCCTCTCCTGCCAACATGGCTACCGCCACTCGCCGGAGGTGGAGTCATGAAGCTGAGGACTTAGAGCGTCGGCTTAGAGCGTCTGCACCAGAAGTGCAGCGTTTCTAGTGTAGATGTACCCTGAGTGCTTTTCCAAGCCCTGAGGAAGAGCTCTGTATAGCTTGAAGGCTTGTCTCTCTCACCACCAGAACCTGGTCCAAAAAGATACCCCCTCCCCCACCCGTCTGTATCCTAACACACATGCAGGAGAGGGCTGATTTAGGGTTACCCAGGGAACCCTTCCTAACCTGAGTGTTTGACCTAGCAGCCTTTTATGTTCTTTTCCCATGGTTTGTGTAAAGTGTGTGTGTGTATGTGTGTATATATATATATATATATATATATATATATATAATACTAATAATTCACTTCCAGTATTGATGGTATAATATTTACCTATAATCCATCTTAATGGATGTTTAAGAAATAAGTGTCCTTACCTATGCAATTATTTGTATAGTAGTAAGTTAGCTGTTGCATCTAGCCACTGAAGTGCCTGGGATGGGTGCGAGGCACCAGAAAGAATCTGGGTCAGCAGCCTGCAACATGCTGCTCTGTTGGTTTCCCTACAAAATCTATCCATGTAGGTTTTTGTACATTAACCCGGGTAAGCAGAGCCCCACTCCTGAGTCCCCTCCCAAACCGCTGTTATCCTAGGAGCAGGCTGGCAAGCTTGCGTAATAGCCTGTGTTCCTTACCTGAGACAACTAAAGCCATGTGCCTGGGCTGGGAGGGGACATAGCTAGAAGGGCCTGGGACGGTAAGGTGAGGCACTTGAACGCCACAAAACGGAAGAGGGAGAGACAGTGGAAGGATGCGGCGATGGGCATCCTGAGTTTATCCTGCATGCAATTTCTTTGAGAAGTTTCTGATCTTTACTTCTGCTTGGCATTCCTCGCTGGAGCTGAATTACAAACTAAAACCAGTCTTCGGGCTTGTCTATACTTACGCGCTGGTTCGGCCGCAGGCAATCGAACTTCTGGGTTCGATTTATCGCGTCTTGTCTGGACGCGATAAATTGAACCCAGAAGTGCTCGCCGTCGACTCTGGTAATCCTGCTCGGCGCGAGGAGTACGTGGAGTCGACGGGGGAGCCTGCCTGCTGCGTCTGGACCGCGGTAAGTTCGAACTAAGGTACGTCGACTTCAGCTACATTATTCACGTAGCTGAAGTTGCGTACCTTAGTTCGAATTCGGGGGTTAGTGTAGACCAGGCCTTCAAGCCTGTAGATCGCTCAGTGCACAATGGAGCTCCTTGCAGTGCACAGGCATTGCATTTTCTTATCTGCTTGTGCAGTTAATACACAATGACTGCTTCTCATTGTGTGCTTTAGTGTCTTGCTAGAGATGCTAGCACATCTCTGAAACTGCCACAGCATATCGCTCTGCCATTGTTGTGTTCCACTTCAGCTTGGCACATGGCTGTCCGTCCATCCTCTCTTGAAACTGACACGCTGGCATGTCTGGTTGTTCTCATGTAGGCACCAGCTGAGAGCGGTCTACGTGAGAGTACGGTATTGTCTGCCATAACCATTGCGTTGCTCTCTTGGTGCCTTGTCTGCCATATGAAGGAACTGACTGATCTATGATGTTAATGAAAATGTGCACTTAATCCAGTGCCTGCGCTGTGCATATGCAGCTGTTCAGGTGGAGGGTGACGGTGTCTCGGCTCCAGTTGGGCCTGGGGTTGAACCATATAACTGGTTATCACCAATGCAGACCGCCTCAAGGTGCCTGACTCGGATACCACAGGAGAGCGTGCTCATTGCGGTAGACCAGGCAAAAATCCCGCATGTGAACAGAAACCGAGTTCTCTGGATTGGTCCTGTTCGCTGTGTAAGGGAAGCCGTGTGCTCCACTGTGCGCATGGCAGCACAACTTGCCTTTCCTCACAGCTGTCACGTCCTTGGCAGAAGCATTGCCCCACCCTGTGTCCTCCCCGCCCCCTGGCTTGCTCTCTGCATAAGGGGACAGAGCCATCACCTCAGGCCTATGTGGCTTTCTTTGTGTGGGCTGTTGGAGTACCCTCTGCCTCATGCCCACCTACCCTGCTGCCGACCTGCCAGGGAGTGGGAGCGGAGCTGTGCCACAGGAGGGGTAGGTGCCTGCTACCCCGTTGTGAGCGAACAGGCCCTAGGAGACAGGACCGTGCTTCGGACCTTAGAGTACTGGGGCAGTATGTCGGCTGCTCCTGCAGCCTGGGAGAGGCCTGTCGCCTTGTCTGTGACAGCAGGTTCTGTGCATTGCATGCAGCTCTACGGCCTGTCACATAGAGACCTCTTCCTTAGGCGGTAGCCCCTCTGTCCTGTCAAATTAATCTTCACTGCCAGTCATGCACACCCTGAGCTGGCTGCCATGCTCGGGCTTGTTCATCTCACTCTGGCCCTGTGTTTTTCCACCTGCCCACCTACACCTGGACTAGAAGGTGCACTGCTGGCCTGCTAAAGTCTAGTAGGGTAGGTTCATCTTAATGGGTCTCTCCATTGACAGCACGCTCTGCAGGGATCCCTATTCCGCACCTTAATGCCTCCTACTGCAGTAGGTCTGTGGCAGTGGAGTTGGGTCCCCTTTCCATCCCCTTCTCAGTGCAGATCTAGTGGGACTGTTGTTGCACCTTTTCCGCTTTCCTTGGCTGGATCCCCTCTACCATTGTCTGGTTGGAGGAGGAGGAATTTGTTCTGTTTATAAATATTGTCTCCGCTGTGGGACAACAAGAAAGGAAGAGCCTTGTGGTTTGGGGTGCTATAAAAACAAAGTACTGCTTCCAATATTAATCTTTTATACAGATATTTATTGGTGCAGGCTGGCTTCTGTACAGACAAGAACAGGAGTACTTGTGGCACCTTAGAGACTCAAACAAATTTATTTGAGTCTCTAAGGTGCCACAAGTACTCCTGTTCTTTTTGTGGATACAGACTAACACGGCTGCTACTCTGAAACCTGTACAGACCAGCATCATCTGGTTTGTGCCGGATACGTTTCCATTGTGTGGGATAGCTTTCCTAAAGCTGCGTAGGAGTAATGGTAAACTGACGGTTACGATGTTGGCCTGATGAGAAAATCAGACCTGAATGTAAGATGACTTTCAGGTTTCTCTCTCCTTGGTGCACAGGAGGAGGGAGCTCTGGTTCATGTTCATAGCTCATATTTTGGGGGCAACTCAGGTTCATGCTAATGAACTTCAGGGTTATTTGCAGCCTGTCACCTAATTAGACTTTCTCTCTCTCTCCACAGAGTTCATGTATTAGTTTTACCTACTGGAAAGAGACTGTATCTATACTGCTTAGTCCCGACCGGACATCACCCTGTGCCATAGTTAGCTATATTGACGAGGCGTATATGGACATTGACAGAGATTTTACTGAGGAGTGATTCTTCAGACTGGCTTCGAATGGACAGCGCTTGGAGGGTATCTGGCAGATGGATTTTCAGGGATACGCTGCGTTGTGTGTGTGTGCGCGTGCGTGTGTGTGTGTGTGCGCGCGCGCAGGCTTGGAACCATGGATGTTACTGCTTTGTTAAAGACTCTTCCCCCACCTCTGATCTCTGAAGGACAGGACTTCGTAAGCTATCTGGGCGACACATTCAAGGACGGAGCTTCCAGTTGTTTTGGGATAAAAATAATCACTTGCAAAAACTAGCCTTTTTCTGACACCCCCAGTGTAGCGTGGCTAGACAAGGATACTCCACGTTAGTTGTGGCTTCTCCTTGTGGCCACCCGAATTAGCAGGTTAAAAAGCACAGGAAAGGCCCCAGGCCGTCCAAACCAAGGCCTGATAGGCCAAACGCATGCAGATGCCCCCCACACATCTACTAGGAGCAGTCTTTTCAGGGTTGGGTGTGTCGGGGTGTGGGGATCAGGGTGGGTTAGATTGTGTGTGGTTTTGAATTCCTGGATGCTGTAGCTCTGTTCACCTTTTTACCACCCACTTTTGGATTGTTTGGTGATAAATCTGTTTAGCCCACGTCTGTCTGTCTGTGCTGTTCCATTAGGAGGTAACCTCTGCTCCTGCTCTCCTCCAGTGGCTCCTTCCTGTCGGAAGGGGTTCTACAGTGCTGCAGAGAGCAGCAACGTTTCAGTGAGGGGGAAATTGCAGTCTGGGGACTAGCTTTGACCAGGCATTAACAGATTAAAATTGACTGATTTTTAAACTTGTGGCTTGTCCCTTCTTGGGTTACTAATCTGATTTTAAAATTGCCTTCAGGAGCACTGCTTTTGCTGCAAGGTTCTCCATTCTTGAACACGGCTAATGCTAACCAGCTGTGCCTGGAAACCTAACACTGGAGTCTAAGCTTGCAGTCTTCAGTACCTTGAATCCGCCTACCAACATTAATTTTGAAGTGCAATATTTACTTGGAGATGTCAGTTTTTTCCTAGAGTTGTTGTTTTAATCACAGTAACACTGCTAGATGCTGGGAATAAAAGACCCTTTGGTCAAAATAACTTTGTAAAGTACGTTTTTAAAAAACAAGTTTGGCAAAAATCTGGCTGCTTTGCCTGAGCTTGCAATTCCTAATCAACAGCATCAGACCAGGTCGTTCAAAGGCCAGGTGCTGGATGTGGCCCGAGATTTCTTGGAATGAAATAAGTCAGTGCAGTGTTGAGCCGCTGCATTTAAAGCAAATCTCATGCCTCTGTGGCTTACATTGAGACCCATTTTCCTATTCTTCCCCCAAACTGTACATGTGAATTTTAATTATTTAAATGTTAAGTTTACACTAATATTTGGTAGCTCAGACAGCTACTGGGAAACATCCTTCAAACATATTGCAGTGAGTGCAAGTGAGGGTTTCCCTGACTTGCAGTGTCCTCCCCTTCTGTGACCAGCACCTCCTTCCCCAAGACTTCATCTGCAGCCAGAAGAAAAGGAGAGCAACTACAGTGTAGCCAGTCTGGGCACAGACACACAATGGTTGTCTTAATGTGTAGGACCTTTGCCAGCAAAGGGAATACAAATCTTTGGATCCCTGAAGCAGGGTTTGAACGTGCAGGGCAGATGGTCAGCCCCTGACATTGGATTGTACCGTCTGAAAAACTTGATTCTGAAGAGTGTTGACCTGTTTGTAATTGAAGTCGTCTTTGAAATGGCTATACTGTTAGAACTGAGTGAATGCTGCAATGCCCAGGCTAGTCTTAATCCACACTTCGGTGTCCGCCCCATGCGGTTCACATTCAGACTGACCGATAAAACGGAGAGTCAGGAGCAAGGGGCCAACAAGTGCATCCAAACTGGAGCTTTAACCAAGTTTATAAGGAGCTATTAATGTCTTCCCCCTGAGGGATTTCCTTCCCCAGGGAGATTTTACTTAAACACACAGCTCCAGCAGATGCCATTCCTCCAAAACGAGTCGACACATTGGGAGACCCTTTTGCCATGGCAGCTGCAACTCTCTTCATCAGCTTTCCCTCGGGAGCAAATTTCTTTTCCATCTGTCCTTTTTTGTTTGTTTGTTTTTTCTTGGGATATTTGTGGGTTTGTGAATCTTTGCTTATTCTTAACTGTAATAGATGTACACTTAAAAATAAATGCTTCAGATGAAAAGGCGTTTAAGTTACAAGAATGCCTTTTCCCTAATCCAGCTAATTGTTGCATCCAAAGATTGATGCTATAAATCTGCAGAGAATATATTTTACTCTTAACTTAATCTGTGTATTTCTGGAACTTGCAGGTAGGGGCCAAGCTGTTTGCCCTTGTTTTAGACATCCCCCTCATCATGTGTTTTAGCAGCTCCAGGGACTGATCTTGGAGCCAGGACTCTTTCATCACCTGGTTCTGATTGAACTGGCTTGGTTCGGACAGGTGCACAGAAGCAATCTCTCCTCCCGCGAAGGAGCTGAGCTGGGCTGGTCTCCCTGGAGGGAAGGCTCTGTCTGATTTATGAGACAGGACAGAGGATCCTTCATAAACTGAGCGTTTCTAACAATTTTTTTAGCTTTATTTTAAGGCACTAAATAGGCTGGGGTTAAAGCTCACACTCACGCTCTCTTGGCTTCCATGGAACTCTTCGTCGGCATTAGCCGCTCGTATAAACCTACCCTGCAAGTGGCCAGAGGTGGCTCGATCCTTCATTCCTACTGTGGTAGCAACCTGTTATTCAATGAAAATGTCTCAGAGGAATGGTGCGAGGGCAGGAATGTTAACGTGATGGACCAGAGAGCTCGCTGATGTTGCTGCTGTCGTTAGTGTGGTTTTCAGCAGCTCCGTTGGGACTGTTGGGGGTGGCGGTGGGATCCCAGCTGGTTAATGTTCCTGGAATTCTGCACTATCCCAAATGCATTGCTGAGGTTTTTGCTGCCCGGATTATTGCCAATTTACTAACTGCAAACAAGCGTATTAAATGGAAACTATTAAAGAACTCTATTTTAAAAGAAATGGGTGGAGAGATGTCTTTCTTTATAGGGGTCTGGCCTACTGTGGTGATAAGATCTATGCCCCATCCCTGCTTGAGTGCAACGCTCCCTCTTAGGTTGTGGTCCTCTCCAAATGCCTATGGGCTCGCTGGCATTGTACTCGCTCCGGTGTTCGCCCCTGCCTTGGGTGCTCTCTCGGCTGAAGTCTAAACTCCCTGCTGGATGGTGGGTGAGTGCTTGACATTTTAACACTTTTGAACACTCATCCCCTGCACAATTTGGCTGTGCACAAGTTATCTAAAGCAGGTCCAGACAGTCTGCATGCAGTTCAATGTACCCCATTTCTGAACCACTGGTGGGTAGGGCCTTATGCAGTGACCTTACTTGTCTAGAGCACCGCAAGCCTGCCCACTGCCTTGCACACTTGCAAGGCCCAGGGTGGTGACCCCAAAAAACTCACTGTCTAAACAACTGCCAACAGCTGTGAACAGGAGAAAGCGCTTCTGAGCAATGGCTGTCTTGGAAAGTCTCCTACCGCAGCGGCCAGGTGGGTGCAGGGAGAGGCTGAGGAAAGATGGGGATAAATAAGGCCAGCTGCTAGGTGGGCCCTGAGGAGTGGGAGGCTGCCTCACACATAGGGGAAGGAGGGCTGTTCCAGGCACAGGGGAACATGAAAACTGGCTGAGCCTAGCAGGCCTCTTCTGTCTCCCTCTGTTTCTCTGGGGTTTTAAATGTCCTTGAGTGCTGCCTCCTTGGGAGCTGCCCTGCAGAGCAGAGAAAAGGAGACTAAAGCCCTGCCCTCTTGGGGCCTGTCTACACTGCAACACCACGCCCATGGCTGGCCTGTATCAGACCTTCTGGCTCACGCTAGAGCCCAGGCTCTGAGCCCGAATGTCTCTACTGCAATTTAATAGCAACATGAGCCTGCATCAGCTGCCACAGGCCAATTGTGGGTGTTTTATTGCAGCGTAGCTGCACCCTTACTCTGCGTGGATTTGTCCATGCAGCCCCAGGAAAAGGGCCTGTTCAGTAGCATCTCCCCACTCCTTGCAGCTGGAGAACAGGAGCGTGGTCTGCAGTAGCTTCCCCTTCACTATCTGATCTGACTCTGGAATTGCATCCCGGGGACCTCAGCAGCCCTGTGTTCCCCTCTCCCTCCAATGCCGCTTGGGATTGTTCCCTCGCCCTGAGGACAGAGAGTCAGGCCATGCTTGCTGCAAAAAGCAGTCTCGGGACGTGAACGTGAGTCACACATTTGAGATACTAGAACATTGCCCCAGTCGTTGCCTTACTGTGTCCTGATGAAGGCAGTCTTGGGGCAGGGGTAACGGGAGCTCTTCCAACAATGGACCTGGCTCTGCACTGAAATAGCCACTCCTTTGGCTCCTCCTGGGGCCTGCTCCAATAACTGATCTTGCCCCTCCCCTGGCTCGTGTCCCCCTCGAGCAGGAGCAGGGCTGAAGCACCGTGCTGGGGAGCCAGCGTAGTTTGCTGAGCTGCTGCCAAAGCTGGGCCTGTTCTACTGAGGGTTGGGACTTCCCAGCCAGTGCTGCTAATAGGGGCTAAATGACAGCTGGGGTTTGTTCGCCACAGGGATATGAACCTGGGTACTGGAGCTGGCCTGGCCTGGGCGATCTAAACCAGAGTTAATGGTTAGTACCAAACTCTCCATGGTCCCGTCCTTCGCTCCCACGTCCTCCAGCGGGCTGCTCCCAGCACAGCCACGTGTGCTGTCAGGCAGCCTCCCACAGCCCCCTTGGGGGCTGATCCCAAAGGATAACTAGGTCTGAGCTGGTAGCAAACTCCCTGCCTCAGTTCTCCTTGCTGCCTAGCTCTTGGCACATTCCTCTCGCAGGCCTGCTGCCAACCGTTCTTGGGCTGATGTAAGCCCCTGTGCGCAGAGCCCCGCTGGGGCTGCCCTCCCACCCCACAGACGGCAAGGAGCCTGTGCTCTTTGGAAGCTGTTTATTCACTCAGCATAGAGATGCAATGACTGTTGCAGCCAGTTGCACCTAACACACAACAGGCAGGTGTGATGGTGGCGGGGCGGGCGCTGCGGCTCCTACTCCTCGTGCTGGCAACAGAAAAGAAACACGGACTCAGGACGTTTGACTTGCTGGGGTGGAGCAGGGCGCAACCATCCTGCCAGCGGCAGCGCCCTCTGCAGAGGTCTGGGCCAGGCACCTGTCTGAGTCGAGGTACATGGCTCACTCCCTGGAGTGGCTGCTGTTCACATGCATGGACCTGGCCTGATGCAGCCGCTCCTCCTGGCTGGTCTCAGCCTGGCCCCAGGGGGCCTGGCAGTTGAGAGGAGCAGGGGTCTGTGGGCCCATTTGATAAGCCTGCAGCCGTGGGACTCGCTGCCTATGGGGCTCGTGCAAAGATGGAGCTGGCTGTAGCCCCGGACAGCTTCTCTGCCCCTCCCCTTCCCTTCTCAGGGCCCACATCCGTGTTAGTTCAGGCCTCACTGGGCCCCCCAGTGCTCCGCAGAGCCAGGCTCTGCAGCAAGTGCCTTACCTTGGAGGTGATGACGTCCCTGGTGCGGGAGCGCAGCTTGTTCACCTGCGTCTCGGCGATGTCGGCCCGCTCCTCGGCGTCGTCCAGCTCGTGCTGCACCTTGCGGTACTTCACCAGGTTGGAGTTGGCCTGCTGCTCCTGCGCCCGGCAGTGCAAAGGGGGTCAGGACTCTCCAAAGACCAGCCGCGGCCTGGACTGAGGTGCCAGCCCCTCACTTCCTGGGCAGCTTTGTACATCTCCCTCAGCAAGGGACGGTGCTGGGATCCCAGCCCTGGAGCCTAGGCCCCCTCCACAGACTGGGCAGGGTATTGGCAGGGCTGGTACAATTGTCCCCTCCTGCCCTGCCAGCATGTTCACACCTCTGCTGCAAGGAGGGCTCCCCAGCGGAGTGGCGAGGACCCCGGCTGGCTTGAGCCTTGGGATCGCTCTGGTCCCAGTGCTGGGTTATGGGGAAGCCCAGGCTATTCAGGAGCAGGCTGAGCCCTGGCAGGAGAGGGGTCCGGGCTCCAGCCCGGCAGGAGCAGGGCCAGGTGTGTCCTGTCTAAGAGGGCAGGGGCGTGGGATCTCAGCCTGGCACTTACCGCCTCCTCGAACTGGCGCTTGTAGCTCTTGACCTTGCTCTGCAGTTTGTCAATCAGGTCCTGCATCCGTGCCAGGTTCTTCCTGTCCTCCTCAGTCTGAAAGAGCCCAGCCAGGACTGCTAGTGAGTCGTCAGCCCCTGCCACCCAGGCTGCTGCCTGCCCCTGGCCTGTCCACAGCTTCCCCTCCCCCACTTTCCCTTACTGGCTGATCTCCCCTCCCCATGGACCCACAGTGAAGCTCCACTGCCACAGACCCCCACCCCCTCCCCACAGAGCCCAGGCTCGCTCATGGCTGCTCAGCCACTGCTTCCTACCTTGGGGCAAGGAGGAGGCCACCCCAGGGCAGCAGAAGTCAGGAGGGATTGGGCCAGAAGCCCCATGTTGCCCTGGGAGGGCTGGAAGACTCTGTGGGTTTTCTTGCAGGTGATGTGTGCTGTGCCTAGGGACTGGGGCCTCCTGCAGGGCAGGGGCTGAGGCTTGGCACCTGAGGTGGGTGGGCCTTGGAGTCCTGTGTGGGGGCAGGCAGGTGGGGCTGGGAGCTCAGTACAGGGGATGGGGGCTGGGAGCCTGGAGTGGGGGGGGGGGACATCGGGAGCCTGGTGTGGGAGCAGGGGGAGGCAGGGAACTGGCTGTGGGGGTTGGTGAGAGGGGATGGGAGCCCTGCAGGGCTGTACCTGGTAGGTCAGCTCCTTGACCCTCCTCTCGTATTTGCGAATGCCTTTCTGGGTCTCGGCGTTCTTCTTCTGCTCGATATCTAGCTCCCCTTCCAGCTCGCGCACCTGTGGGCAGAAGCAGGGCGGTCAGCTCTGGGTTCCCAACTGCCCAGATCAGGCTGAGCTGGGAGGGCCAGGCCCTGGCCTAGCAGCGGGGGAGGAGCTGGGGGAGACCACCCCACCTGAGCCCAGTCTGCACTTGGGGCCCCTGCCAGCACTTACCCTGGCCTCCAGCTTCTGGATCTGCTTCTTGCCCCCTTTCAGGGCGATCTGCTCGGCCTCGTCCAGGCGCATCTGCAGGTCCTTGATGGTCTGCTCCATGTTCTTCTTCATCCGCTCCAGGTGTGCGCTGGTGTCCTGCTCTTTCTTCAGCTCCTCCGCCATCATGGCTGCCTGAGGGGACCAAAGGAAGGGGGGTCTGTCAGTGCCTGGGCCGGGCCTCGTGCAATCAGTCAGTGCCGCTGGCAGGAGTGCTGGAGAGGGATGCAGGCTCGTTGTCCATCCCACACCGGCTGCTGATCCGTGACACCCCCTTCACCACAGGTGGTACATGGAGGGCAGCAGTGAACCCCGAACAACCTGAGCTGCTGCCTTATTGTGAGAACCTCGTGGAGCTCAATCAACTTAGCTTAACAAAGAGATGGTTCGGGGTGACTTGATCACAGTCTGCAAGTACCTGCATAAGGAACCAATATTTAATACTGGGCTCTTCAGTCTAGCAGAGGAAGGTCTAACAGGATCCAGTGGCTAGGAGCTGAAGCTAGACCCATTCAGACTGGAAATACAACGTAAGTGTTTACCAGGGAGGGGAATTACCCTCTGGAACAATTTACCAAGGGCCCTGGGGGAGGCTCCAGCACAGCAGGTTTTGAATCAGCACTGGGTGTTTTTCTACATGTTCTGCTCTAGGGATTGTTGTGGGGCCGGTCTCTGGCCTGTTATACAGGAGCTCAGACAAGGGGATCACAGTGGTCCCTTCTGGCCATGGACTCTATGAATACCGGCCTGCTGCAGCACCAGGGTGCATGACCACGCAGGGCCTTTCCCTGAGGGCCCCGCCTGCTTGCTGAGCCTGCGGCCAGCACCCCCCACCACCACCACCGCTCCCTTACATCGGTAATGGCTTTCTTGGCCTTCTCCTCAGCGTTGCGACACTCCTGCACGGCCTCCTCCACCTCCGAGCTCAGCTGGGCGAGGTCCGCCTC